CCCCCCACATCAAATTCTTTGGCATTGGATCTATAGATCCCAGCCTTGGCACTTGGATCCACTGGTCCCTGCCAGGCCCTGTAAAGGCCAGTGTGCTTTATTTTGTTTTGATAACTTGTCAAAAACGGCTGCCGACTTGCTCCTTCTTCAAGATCAACCGGCCTCCGCTACGCCTTGGACTTGCCTTCACTTCTGCCTACTTGCCTCATCATCATACGTATATATACGGGAAGATATATATATGCAATTTTTTTAACTTCTTCGCCCATACAGCTGATTAACCTGCTGACCATTAATCGAAACTTAACCTTATGCCACGAGCAGGGTGAAGGAGGATTGCTAATCTTCGAGCACCCTTGATTAGTAATTATTTCTTAGGAGGAGATAATTATTTTTTAAATCAAAATAACTGCCAGGAACTGGGAGTTTGTAATAACTGACCTCGGTAAATTGTGAAAAAGAATTATGCTGAGGATGTTACACTGCGGTGCAATAGTCTTTAGACACAGTAATCGTACCAGTAGAGGCGGTGGCAACTCTTTTTGCACCGTTACCTTAGATCGTGAACATTCCTCTATATATATATATATATTATTATTTGGGTTTTTAACACCCTTAGTAGCAATTAAGTTACAGTACACGTAAATTCATCACTGACACCTTTTTTTTTTTTCATTAAACACCATATAAGTAAAAAAATACGTATGAAATAAAATCTGATTAATTATAAAATAACCATCACATGTCGTGTCACAAAAACTACTGTTTTTATTTCCTTTAACCTGAGAAACCATCAAAACTTCAAACCATATACAATATCCTACAATGAAGTTCAAGGATATAAAGCGGCTGGAGACAGGGAATAAAACAGCTATAAAGTTAGTTATTAGCAATTGAAAATCTTTCACAAAACTGAGGTATTTTTTAAGTTATTACAATACAGAAATAAAACAGTTTATAGCATTGATATTTATATAGTCTCTCTTTCTGCCACTAACAAAAATGCTGAGAAACCTATGGATTCGATTGACTGTTTAAAATCTTGAGATTTAAAAATCCTATACCTACAGCAGGCCTCAAAGTGAAGACAAGGCATAATATAATTCTTGTAAAAAAAAAAAAAAAAAAGTGTTATTTAAATAGCTCATATTAGTAGTGTTTACAATAGAAGAGACATACTTTCAGTTTCATGATCAGTTTTATGACTGCAGTGAAGAAATAAACACAGGTTTGCCACTAGTGCAAGTCTTGGCCAACACTTGCTATTGTTACAATGGAAAGAGCCAGTTCAATTTGATTCAATATCCATTAATCCGATTAACTATCAGATGTGTAGGAAAGATTTACTATTTCCAAACATAAAACTGAAATTTGTAAACTTGAAAAGGGCTTTAACATCGTATTCAAGTAAAATCAATTGAGCTCAACATGAACAAGAACATTTTTTGACAGTTTTGTCATTAACAGAAAAAATCAGTTTCATGTACATGCTTATAATAACACAACAGACATACATTTACATTACAAGTACCTTTAGGCTAAATAGCTTAGAACCTAATTAGTTAAGTAAATGAAAACCATGAGGTTTTAAGCAACATATTGAAAGCATTTTTAAGAAAAATTTATTAAATAAAAGAGAATTTAAATGAGTATTTCAACATATATATATACATGTACGGCAGAGTTAATACAATAATAAAATAAGCTTAAACCATTATTACCCCATACACTAACAGTAACCATAACCAAGCTAACAATTAACCCTAGCCTCATTAGGTAATCACTTAAACTCAACAGACTTGTAATCAGAATCCACAACCTCAAATAATATCAAGTTTTATATTAAAAAATCTTCATTTTTAAGGACAGCATTCTCCAGTTTCAGAGTGTCCTTGCTGTTACTCAACATGGCAAAATGATGCAAATACAACAAAAAACAGATTTACTGTTTGCTCTGCCCTTTAATTTAGATATGGTCATTAATTTCAGTACAAAAGACATTAAGCGTGAACTTTGATTAAAATAAAATTTATATACTACCTTGTAAACTTAAACCTGGCCAACTAGATGAATAGCTTTGGCAATAAAACTGTTACTTGATAGTGACAAAAGGCCAATCAAGCCAGTATTTTATTGCATTTCTTATACAGTTCTGATTCTTGGGTCCTTAAGCTAGAAAGGCACCTTTTAATTTTAGCCTAAATACCTGAATAAAATCCTAAATTCCAATTTGCAAGAACTTGTAAATTTTAATTCTGTTATTTATAGATTTCACAGGGAAATCTCAAATGAGGCTGCAAACCTCCCATTTTTTTTTAGTCAGACCAACTCTGTATATTTCTTTAATGATAGTTAACATCATTTTTAATAAGTTTATATTTTATTTTATTAATTCGTTACCCTTGCTTTAAGTCAGTGGTTCTTAACCTTTTTTTTGGCTGTGACCAAAATTCTGGTTGCAGGACTAGCTCGGCGCCCCCCATGCGTTCAAATAGACCCCTTTGGCAACCCAGTTTTGGGTTGTGACCCAAGGGTTCAAGGGTTAAGAACCACTGCTTTAAGTTGATGCATTTGTATGTATCGATACTAATTCAAATATTGTTGTACCTTGCTTTTTAAGCTTTGTATCCTTATTGACTGGCATCAATTGGTCAGATGGACTATACAAAAAAATGTTGAATCTTTAAATATGCAAATTGTGGTGAGCGCTCTGTATTGCTACGTTCCTTTTTTTTTTATTTGGACTCATTCTTCGCAGACAAGAATAAAGAATTAATTGTTTTGTTCTGAATTTACTTAGTGATTATAAGTATTACGACAAGTTACAGCTTGTACAGTGAGGAAGAATATTTTTAAAATTAGTATTTCATCCGATCACTGGTGCAATAATTCTCAAGTACACAAGTTTCTTTACTGTTAAAACTTGTGCATTTGAGAATGATCGCACCAGTGATCAAAACATCGTACCTGTTTTAAGAATTCTACCTTACTGTAAAAGCTGTAATTCGTAATAAAATAATGGAAAAAAAAAAACATTGTTTACCTACACTACTGAGAATATTCCATGTGCCCATTGTTTACATACACTACTGAGAATATTCCATGTGCCCAAATTCAGTTTTCCTATTTTAAGCAACCTGCTGCATCATTTTAAGAGCCGTACATCAGGAATAACATGGACACGCATCATTAGCTTATAAAACTTTTCTCAGAGAAAGAGAGAGCAGGCATATCTTTATGATTTCATATTTTGTATTTTACAGAAATAAATCTGTAAAAAAAAATCAACAATTAATATATACTAATTCACAAATCTGCTTACTTGCTGAGGAAAGTTTGGGTTCGTATTTCTGGCCGTTGATCCTTGAGACTGCGAAGGGCTAAATAATCGAGGAGGATACGACTGACCAAGCTGACCAGGGGATGGTGGAGCATTAATTCCCTGCTGACCAGGTGCCAGGAATAATCTTTTAGCACTTGGTTCGGAAAGTGGAGGTCCCTGAAATTTCACAGCAACCAGTAAAAAAACTTTTAACAGTGAACAGATGACCAAAGAACATGGTATATTTGTAGGCTCCAAGCTATTACAAGAACTTGACTTTTTAGTTCTACAGACAAAATAAAATAAAACTGTTACTGCATTAAGATCAATTACTGTGCGACCCTATCTAAATTATACTTCACATATCTATATCTCAGTTTTAAAAAATGTTAAAAGTTGTATCCCTCTGAACAAATTGTAGATGATGAAAAATATCTAGTACAAGTGATGTATGCAAAAAAACTGATATCATAAATATATACGTAAAGATCCGAGATGGAAAACTTTATTTAACGTTTAAGGCAGTGGCTCGAGTCGAATTTTTAACATATAAGCTACAAAAATTAGTTTGTCAGATAACTGAAGTTAAAAATAGTTCGTTGTTAGATGCAAGTTATTATACTTGTTTACAGTTTCACGTTAAAATGGCCTTTCCATTGCTCTGAAACGAGCCAACAGTCACAGCGTTGAACATGTGCACTGTCTGTGACAGCCCTGTATGTTATTTGACAATTATTATCTTTTAACGCTTTAATAAAAACTTTTTTTTTTGTTCTAGTGCTTTTATTTAACCATCTAGGCCTACCGTGCACGTGAATAAAATCATTGCAAAGTTATAGTAACTTTCTGCTACTTTGCACTTCAAAACTTTCTTGATAATTCAGTGTATTTCTCTCATAGTTTAAAGGAAACTTCAAATACAAGGTCCAGAAAACAAGTTGTCTCACTCACAATACAGGGATTAGTCAGACTATTTCAGAATCATGTAAAGAAATACG